TGAAAATTTTGTTAGTCGAGACGTCAAGACATTTGTAACCCTTATAATTTTCGGAGTAGCCAAGGAACACACAGGAGTGTGCTTTCGGTTGAAGTTTGTTTCTTAGAGCACTAGGTATGAGGGGGTAGCACGCACATCCGAAGGTGCGAAGATGGCTATAGTCCGGGTGATGGTTGTACAATAATTCGAACGGAGATTTGTTGCTTATGGTTGGTGATGGCATACGATTTATTAGGTAGACGGATGTAATCGTGGCGTCAGGCCAGAATTTATAGGGAACGTCAGCAGTAAACAACAGAGATCGTGTTGTTTCTATTATGTGCCTGTGCTTTCGTTCCGCTAGGCCATTCTGTTCAGGCGTGTATGGACAGGAGATTTGATGGAGAATTCCATTATCTTTGAGAAACTGAGTTAGCTGATGATTTGTGTATTCCGTGCCTCCATCCGTGCGGAGACTTTTAATCTGATGAGATGTAAGTTTCTCAACATAATTCTTGAATTTAAAGAAAATGTTAGGTACTTCAGATTTTTGTTTCATTGGAAAAAGCCAAACAAATCTAGTACAATCATCTACAAACAAAACATAGAATTTGTAACCCTGAGTTGACTCAACCGGGGCAGGACCCCAGACATCCGAGTGAACTAACTCAAGAGGGGTACTTCGTTTATTTGACGATTTTTCAAATGGCATTTTATGAGCTTTTGCAAGATTACAAGAATGACAGAAATCAAAGTCAGAAACTATATGAAGATGAGAGTTACGGTTCTTGATTAATTCAAGAGTTCTGGAGTTTGGATGACCCAAACGGTTATGCCATGAGATATGGCCTTTAGTGGTAGCCTTGAGAGCAGCTGCTGTGGCAGAAGACTGCTGTAATCTAAGTGGATACAGACCATCAAGACACGGTCCTCGGAGTAAAATTTGCTGCGTCTGCAAGTCCTTAAACACGAATTCATTAGGCTCAAAAGTAATTGATATATTATTATCCTTAGTTAACTTGGATATGGATAATAGATTATACTTGAGCTCTGGAACGTGTAAAAGCTGAGCAAGATTAAACTTACGAGAATTTGTATTTAACAAACCTGAACCGGAGTGGGCTATTTGAATTGAACTTTGATATTAATTTACTTATATAATATTATAATCCTTAAATTATAAAAAAAAATATTATTAATTTTAACTAATCTCAATTTTATACTAAACAAATATTGGAGAACTTAAATAATGCTAAAAAAATGCAATGTAAAGCCAGTGTGTTAGATGGCTAGAGTTTTCTCTCCATTGCCTCCCCCACCGATGCTTATGTGCTCTCAGTTGTGGAGAATCCTCTTTATGTAATTAGTGGGTGGTACATACTACTCGCGGGTTTTGTAAGCATCAACAGGAAATACAAATTTTATACCCTCTTTGAATGATTATTCATAGAACGGGACGGTGTTAACTCACAAGCCCACTTGAATTCAACTTATTAACGAACTCATGAGTCAAATTTGTTGAGCCACAAGTTTATGCTTGAGCCTAACTCGAGCTCATAGTATACGAGCTTGAGCTTAGTTTGGCTCAGCTCATTAGCTAGTTGAATCGTTCAACTAACTTAAACTATATTAAAAATAAATAAATTTAAAATAACATTATATAATATATTACTATATTAGTATAAATTCTATAAAAAAATGACAATTATAATTTAAAATTAGGAAATTGAGCTCAACAATCCAATCAAGCTCAAACTTTTTAAACGAGCCTAAGCCTACTTTTTTTTTAACGAGCCAAACTTGAGCTCAATAAATGAGCTTCAGTCAAACTCGAGCTTTAGCTCAATAAAATACTTGACTCGACTTGACTAAACTCTACTCGTTTACACGTCTAATTCACATTCAACCTGCTCACTGATTTCCCGAATAGGTTGCAACTTCCTTATCCATCCCACTCTCTTGCAAGTTCGTAACGCAATTAATGATCTGGGCCGGCGGACCGTTAAATGTCTATTCTTTTTGTCCACCTGCTGCTTGATCTATCACATATGGCATGAGAGAAACTAATAAAATATAATGCTCCACTACTCCATTGTGAAAAATCAAGAGGGACATCAGAGCTAAGGTTTCCAATTAGGCCAAATTTTTTAAAAGTGGACATATAATGCTCCACTACTTTATTTTCAGATAACTCTTTTGCTTTGGCACACTCACTATGATGGTCGAATGACAATCATAGGCGTTGTTTTTATCTTTTTGTTATAGACTCCTTGCTGTGGTGAAGGCTGAAGACTTTTGCATTTTGAGTTTGCCCATCATTTTTTTCTGCACTCATGCTCTTCGCTCTTATTGCAGATGTTCTTCTTTCGCATATGAGCTGCAATCTTTTATTTCTCTCTCTTCGAGATCTTTCTATGTTTTGTTCTTATTTCTCTACTTAAAAATTTCTACCTTATAGAGGATAAAATTAAAACTTTGGGGGTGTCAATATTTGACATGACCCGAAAATCTGATTTGAACTAGAACAAAAAATTTCGGATTAGGGTCAACACCGACTTGAAACGGGTCTTCGGGTTCAGCAAATCGACCCGTTTCAAAAATCGGATTAGGTTTGGGTTGACCCAGTAAAACGAAATTGACACTTTTTTATTCGGAAACAAGAGAGTAAACTGATTTTGACCTGCATTTTACCCGAAAATCGGAGATTGACTCGTTTTTTACCTAAAAACTATCAATTTTTGTTCGTCATGGAAAATTCGGGTCGTGTCGGGTTGACCCGGACCCAAAACAGGTCATGTCCGGGTCCAAAAAAACACTTGTTTGTAAGGGTGTCAATTCGGGTCAACGGGTTGGATTCGGGGCGAACCCGGAACTGACCCGACACTATTCGGGTCAACCGAACCCGACCCGACAAAATCGGAGATTGACCCGTTTTTTAAAATAGGTCAGGTTTCTAAATCAAACCCGACCCGACACGAATGACCCAAAAGTTGATCTAAAATTGCTAGTTTTCAGGTTAAAAATCGGGTCAATCTTCGATTTTCGGGTTAAAATTGGGTAAAAAACGGGCCAATTTCGGTTTTCCAATTCAAATAAAAGTTTTCGTGTCAATTTCAGGTCAACCATACTCGATTTTTAAAACAAGTTGATTTTTTGAACCCGAACCGAACCCGCTTCAGGTCCTGGTTGACCCTAACCATGATTTTTCAGGGTCGGGCTTGGGTCGTGTTTCGGATCGTGTTAAAAATTGACACCCCTACTTGTTTGTAAAACGATTCGGGTTCAGATTGACTCGAATAGTGACGAGTCAGTTTTGATCCGTGACCTAAAATTTATACTCCTATTTAGAAGTAAAACTTTATTTACAAGTTTTGACATTATATATCAATCAACATCAATCAATCATGCAACAAATATCTTGCTGTGATTCTCTTTTCTTGCAAGCTTTTAATTGAAATGATATCGTCCTCTTTTTAGCCTCATTAGCAATTATAAAAGTACCATGACAAGCCTTATACTTTGTATTATTGCGACACATCAATCCTCTGCTAAAGAAAAAGTGATTATAGAAGCTTTCTTTCATATTCAAAGCACCATTATTTTCTTATCTACAATGAATACAATCATCTTATTATCGAGATAAGTTCTTTCATTATCAATCATTTAATATATTGAATTGTAATTGAATGCAACCGGGCCAGTTTTATGTCTCATTAAAGAAAAGGGTGATTAGGTCTTGAAAGAGTGAAAGAGATGACTAACTGGCCACCTGCAAAGTATTTATGCTTGCTTATTTCTTCAGTCAAGCTAACTATTAAGCCATAACTTGCAAGAAAGAAAAGGTCCAGCAGAAGCTTCTTTCGCTTAATGGCTTTCTCAAAGAAAGCTTGAAGCAACAACAACTACAACAAATCTATGGCATATATTTATTGCAAACAAAGGTTTCCAGAAGCAACATTCCACCGCATCATATTGTTCTTTGCCCTTTTTATCAGGATTTCGAATTTATATTTTTTCTAAATCAATAAAATATTTCTGCCTCTTTGGTGGAAGAAAAAAAAAGTTATATACCATCGTTTGAAATAGACAAATAGTGACAGACTCAGAAACTTTTTTTAATGAGGGGAATAAATTATCAATTAAACATATTCCTAATAATTTTTATTTGGATTTGAGAATCTCATTTATAATTTCAAATATTTTTTATTATAGTTATTAATATATAATTTTTTTCCTCGAGTATTCATATTTTGAAATCATTATATAAACCTCACCAAATAATAAATTATTATAATCAGTTAATAAATAAAAAAGTATTATTGAAATCACATGTAAATTATTTTAAAAAGAATTTTTTTCTCACTCATTAGAATCATCTAATTATTTATATTCTAATATTAAAAAAAATACTTAATTATTATCTGGTGGGCCATAGGGGCCCTGCCCCCAAGCCCCTTACTCTAGCTCCACCCTTACGGTACTTTAAAAATTTAAAGTCAATATAAAAAGGAATAATACAACTACGTAATTAGTTTAATATCAAAATATAGTATATATATTTATATGAAAATATAATATATGATTAAATTCACCTTATCTTTAAATGGCATAAACAAATCTCAGTGATTATAAATTAATTGTTAAATTGAATCGAAATTACCCAATAATATAATTGACTGAAGGAATACAATATTATTTTGTTTACTATACAATACATTATTTCGAATTTTCAGTCTTTTATATATTACATAGGATTAATTTATTATATAATATAAAATTTGGGCTTGTCAAAATCTCAAATTTTTTGCTTCAAACAACATGCAGAGAATGACAACGAAATGAAATGCAGCCCATCAAATAGGCCCATTCAAAATATAAACATCTTAAATATCCGAATGTTGAATTTATGGGATAATCGTTTGGCCGCAGGAGGGATACCTGTTAAGGGAACGAATCCAATTCGGTTGGAAAATGATACGATATCTGGAAACCCAACCTGGTATAAACTGACTCGAGCCAACTGGTTATGGATACACGGCCTTTCCGCCATTCACCGTGCACGGAGAGCAAAGGGAGCAGCTCCGCTTACCCCGACCGCGATCTGTCGAGGCTCCGACCATCTACTAATAAATTATTTCTTAGAAGAAGAAGAGTGGCCGAAGAAAGCTTGAGCAAGTATCGAATGCGGCGGGGCCGAAAGGTTGCGACGAAAGAAAGAGGTCGCGTGGATACAGCGGTGATAAAGGGGAGTGATTAGAGCGGGGAGTGGCTCGATCAACACACGTAATGCTTCGGAAAACCCTTGTTGCATTGCTCGCCCTAGCATTTGTTTGCCTTCTTATCTCCATATCCCGCAGGAGGGTTCAGGTATTTGTTTCGCGTCTCTCTCGTTTCTTTCACTGTCTATTTCCTCCTATGTTGTCCTGATCTAGCGTCAAATTTAGCTCACTTTTGAGCTCTTGTTTTCGGGATTTCAACAAGATTGTGGAACTATGGGGTATTCTCCATGATTCTTGTTAGGAGCATGTTATAAACGCGGTTTTCATTAACAACGACGTGGCGCTGAGGCATGCTGGTTCGTTTCGCTTCATTAATTTCTGCTGAAAATTATGTTCGATACGTGGAATGGTTGGTATTGACTTCAGCTATTGTCATATAGGTGTAATGCCTTTCTCATATGACAATTAACTGCCTCCTCTGAGCAGCTGAAACAAAGGGAATGCCTGACGCAGCAGTATAATTATTCACAGATTGGTTAGTGAGATTATACCTAATTGGTTTTGAGGACTTAGTTTCTATGTTTTTGTTTGGAGCTATAAACAGGAAAAGGTTAGGAATCTTTACATTTGAGCTAGTTTCTTGAATTCATCTTCTAGAGGATCAAAGGATGAATTGGAGTTCTTATGCGAGTTGATGTTGCACATAACTCAAGAATGATACTGTTCAACTTGCATATTTATGTATACTGTTTTAAGATTATAAATAAAAAGGTTTAAAGTGTACTTTTGCTTGCCTGGACCTGGCCTAGGCCCTTATAAGTTTTCAGCAAGACCATTTTACAAATGGTTTGAAAACTTTACTCTAATTTGCATGTTGAAACTAAGGAGGAAGATCTTGAGATCTTTCTTGCAAGAGATAGAGAGGGAGAGTGAGGGAGAGAGATAGACAACAATTGGGGAGGAAAATACCTAAAGCTTTATTAATTTTTCCCAACCAATACATCATACAAGGCATCTATATATAGAGATGTACATGGGTGTGGTAGCATGCATGAACAAGATAACCTAAAACTAAATCAATACATAACAATCTCCACATTAATTTAGTTTTACAAAAAACAAAGAACCACTCATCATAAGAAATCGAACTTGTTGCAATCCAACCGATCGCCCTGGACACCCGTGCGCGCTCTTACCTGCGACTTCGCACCATCCACCCGTGCACCGAGCCTTGCGCATTCACCTGCGCTCCACTCGTCACAATCCCAAGTTCGCGACCATCTTGCCTCCATGAGGTTCTTGATGCTGCAACATGCTCCTATAATTCTCCACCTTGATCGAAACTCCACCTGAATATGAATATCTAACTTCTCCCTTATCTGACTTTGCAAGCCCGAATGGAACCAAGAATTTCCTGAGAGGAAATTGTTCTACTGATAACAGTGAAACCGAACTCCTGGTTCAGCAAAAGAACAGCTCCCATCACAAGAACTCAGTTCTTGAAAGAGTACATTGCATTTCCTAGCAAGCCCATTTGGCCTATCGCGGCATCAAGACATTTCCATGACTGAACGTCACCGCTCGGCTTCGGCTTGCTCCTGGCACCGCCTGAGCTGATCCCGCCTCTGGTAACCCCGCCGGACGTCCAAAACTCCACCTCAAATCTTGATCGATCTTCAATTTTGCAAATCTTTCTTTGAAGCTCCTCCACAGATCAAGAGTTTCGTTGTCTTCTGGCTTCCGTAGCTTCCTCTTGTTGCCAAGATCTTGTTCATGCGAAGGCTCTGGCCTGCCGTCTTCTGCTGATCCCGTGACCAAGAAGCCGCACCATACGCTCGTCCGACCATGCCAGGTGAGCGTCCGACCTGTTCGGCCGATCCAAACTCCGAGCCTTCTTTGCTTCCGACCTTCATGCGCGAGTAAACCCACGCCGGCAACCAGCCTTCACCTTACTCGCACGAGTTCGATGCCTGGATCCTTCACGCTCTGCTTGCGAGCGCATGGTCTCGTACCCAAGGCCGACTGCTTCACCTCAAGAATATATTCCTTCTTCGAGATCTCCACCAGGGCTCTGATACCAATTTGTTGAAACTAAGGAGGAAGATCTTGAGATCTTTCTTGCAAGAGATAGAGAGCGAGAGTGAGGGAGAGAGATAGACAACAATTGAGGAGGAAAATACCTAAAGCTTTATTAATTTTTTCCAACCAATACATCATACAAGGCCTCTATATATAGAGATGTACATGGGTGTGGTAGCATGCATGAACAAGATAACCTAAAAGGCTAAAGCTAAATCAATACATAACATTGCAGTATAAGGGCATCTCCAACGGAGAACTCCATTTTTCACTGCAAAATACTGCAAAACTCCAAAATGCCGTGGTGCTGCTCCAATCGAACGCCATTTTATGTGTTTTTGCGAAGGTAACTGTAGAAACCAGAGAGAAGTAAAGAAGAAGAACTTAGCTAGCTTTTCATTATAGTAATCTTGCCTTACAACAGAGGACGGTAACATATATATAGTTTGTACTAATCCTAGTTACACATGTCATAAGTAGACAGGTTACAATAAATACATTGTTACACTATTTGGTATCTAATATTCCCCCGCAAACTGATGATTCAGATGCTATCGTCAGTTTGGATCTTAAAAACTTGAACCTATTGGTAGACAGAGATTTTGTGATAATATCTGCTACTTGATCTGTAGTGCTAATAGGTTTTAGTTGAATGTTGTTAGTTTGGATTTGATCCCTGACGAACCTCTGATCTATTTCAATATGTTTGGTTCTGGCGTGGAACACTGGGTTGTTGGCCAACGCAATCGCCGAGATATTGTCACAAAATAGATCAATTTTGCTGTTATGTTGAATACCGAAATCTAACAGTAGCTTTTTAATCCAAATGGTATTAGCGGTTGCAGCTGCTAAAGCCCTGTACTCAGATTCGGTGGATGAACGCGATACCGTGTTCTGTTTCTTTACAGTCCACGATACCAAAGTTCCGCCCAGAAATGTGCAGAAGCCAGATGTCGATTTTCTGGTTTCTTGATCGCCTGCCCAGTCCGCATCGGAGAAAGTGGTAAGTTGCAAAGACGATTTCGTGATAGGTAGGCCGAAGTCAATCGTCCCATGGATATACCGAAGTAATTTCTTGAGCAGGAAACAGTGAACGTTGCTGGGATCATGCATATGTTGTGAAAGAATGTTGACCGCAAACGCAATGTCCGGACGAGTTATTGTAAGGTACTGCAATGCTCCTGTTAGCCGTCTGTACGTGGAGTTGTCAAACGCCGGAGTGTGCTTCTCCGCATCGTCTGGTATTCTGGTGCAAGAAGGATTAGCAATTGAGTTGCAAGTGTTGAGATGCACTTGCTGTAATAAGGATTTTGCATAAGAAGTCTGACAAAGAAAATACTTATCTGAGTCATTCCTAATTTTAATGCCAAGAAAATGGTGCGCAGGTCCGAGATGCTTGATGAGGAACTTCTGCTTGAGCTGAAACAGGAGGCGTTGAATGGCAGCCGTGTCATTTCCAGTGACGAGAATATCGTCCACGTATATTAGAAAATATATTCTAATGTTGGATTTATGAAACGTGAGCAGAGATTGATCCGCCTTGTTGTGTGTAAAGCCGATTTGAAGGAGATGATTGGTGAACGTTGTGAACCACTGACGAGGTGCTTGTTTGAGACCGTATATGGCTTTGCGTAACAAGCATACATGATTCGGTTGATTTGAATCTTCGAACCCTTTCGGTTGCTTCATGTAAACGGTTTCATCAAGCGTGCCATGAAGGAAAGCGTTGGTCACATCTAATTGTTCTACCTGCCAACCATAAAATAAAGCAATTGTAAAAAGAATTCGAATTGTAGGTAATTTTGCTACCGGACTAAATGTTTCACTGTAGTCCAAGCCATGTTCTTGTCTGTTTCCTTGTGCAACTAAGCGAGCCTTGTAACGTGCTATCGAGCCATCTGAGTTTAGTTTTGTTCTGTAAGTCCACTTACAGCCTAGGATAAGCACATTTGACGGTGGAGGAACTAAGTCCCAAGTTCCTTGCTGCTGTAATGCCAGAAACTCGGATGCCATTGCCTGTCTCCAGTGAATACTCTTATTAGCTTCGTGATACGAGGTCGGGTCTAGAGTGAGAGCAGGCTCAGTTTGCATATGAGCCAAATTGAATTTGCAACTTGGTTTTAAAGACCCTGTTTGAAGGCGGGTAACCATGGGATGTTTATGTTGATGTAGTTGTGGAGGAGATACACTAGTTGTTGTTTGGAAATTGTCGGAGGTAGGATTTGCAGGCATCACAGGTTGAGTAGAGATGATTTGCGGTTCTAGACGTGAAGCAGTCTGTGACCCAGATGTCTGAGCAGAAGTTGGTTTCGTCCAGGTCATTGAAGTAGGTAGAAGCAGAGCCGGTGCTACTTCAGTTACCTGTTGATTACCGATAGTGCTTGACTGCTGAAATGGAAAAGATTTTTCATTAAAAGATACATGTCTAGAGATAATTATATGATTAGTGTGTATATTCATGCACTTATAGCCTTTTTGAGTGTCCGAGTAGCCCATAAACACAGTAACAGCCGATTTGGGTTGTAGTTTATGTCTGGTGTGCGACGGTGTTAAAGTGTAACATTCACATCCGAATGTTCTGAGATGCTCATACGAAGGTTTGGTTTTGAACATCAGTTGCAATGGAGAAACGAAATCAGTATTAGCAGTAGGAAAGCGATTTATAAGATAAGTTGCTGTTAGAGCTGCATCCGCCCAAAACTTGTGAGGCATAGAGGCCGTGTGAAGCAATGTTCTCGTTGTTTCGATAATATGCCTGTGTTTCCTTTCCGCGATACCATTTTGTTCCGGAGTATATGGACAGGAAATTTGATGGAGAATACCTCGGGATTGAGTGAAGTTTTTAAACTGATTGTTAATGTATTCTCGACCACCATCTGTGCGAATTGCTTTAACTTTTTGGTTCGTTTGGCGCTCAATAAAATTGACAAAGTCGATAAAGATTTTAGTAACGTCAGATTTAAACGTAATTGGAAAAAGCCATGTGAACCTAGAAAAATCGTCAATGAATATTACATAGTAACAAAATCCTTGATGAGAGGGTACCGGTGAAGGTCCCCAGACATCAGAATGAAGAAGTTCCAGAATCTTTCTTTTTCTGTTACTAGAAAGCGGAAAGGAAATTTTGTGACTTTTGCAAGTCATACAAGAAGAACAGTAAGATTTAAAACTAGGAATATGTAAAGAAGCATTGCTGTTGGAGATGTGCCGAATAACTTGAGTATTCGGATGTCCAAGCCGGTTGTGCCAATCATTCGCCGAGACAGAAGAAGCCACCAGAGCTCTTTTCCTGTCATGATGAGTTGCGAACGAAAGCCTGTACAACCCGTTATTACTGCTGCCTTGGAGGATCTGCTGATTTGTAATAAGATCTTTAAAAATAAAACCATTTGCATCAAAGGTTATAGAAATGTTGTTATCTTTAACTAAATGAGAAATGGAAAGTAAATTATGCGATATAGCTGGTATGTGTAAGAGTTTAGAAAGATGAAGCTTACGCGTCGGGGTGGGAAGAATACCCGTGCCCGAGTGAGCTATGGGTAACGTTCTTCCATCCCCGATGGCGACGTTGTCAGACCCACTGTATTCTTTCTTGTTAGCCAGATGATCCAAAGAATTCGTCATATGCGCCGAGGCTCCGGAATCAAGGTACCAGTCATCATTGGAAAACTCAGTCGTCGACAGCAAGGCGTTGTTAGACTTCTTCGAGTTCATGGATGGAATAAAATTTGGGTTGAGACGGTGCCAGCAAACATCCGCGCTATGACCCTTCTTTGTGCAAATTTGACATATCAGATGAGAGGAACTGCTTGGACGATTCTGCTGATGGCCTGTAGAACGACCACGGCCGCGTCGAGATCGTCCCTTGTCTATGTAAAGAGCCGATTGAGAGTCAGACGCTATCACAGTTCTGGTAGCGTCTGATTTGACGTGGATTTCCTCACTGATGAGTAGAGCATAAAGATTATCTAAACTCAGCGACGTCTGCATTGTTCTCACGGCTGTTTTGAAAGAATTGTAGTTTTGTGGGAGTCCGTTCAGGATGTGGTGAAGAACATCTTCGGGATCCATTTTAGCGCCAGCATAAGCAATTTGATCCACGAGCTTTTTAACCTCCGTAAGATATTGCGTCATGGACATCGTATTCATAGAAATGTTTTGCAATTCGTTTTTCAGTTGAATGATTTTGGACCGATTCGTCGACTGAAATTGAATTTGCAAAGTTTTCCATATTTCCGCTGTAGATTCAAGATGAACGACGTATGGAAGAATTTGCGGCGAAATTGTCGCACAGAGAGCCGCGGCTAAATTTTGATCCGTGAGCAGCCATCGTTGATGTCGCAGATTGGGATCTTGATTTTCTTGTTCTTGATCGTTGGCTAACATCGATGAAGATGCTGCCGGATCCAGAAAATCTTGAAAGCCATTTGCCCGTAGCAGCTTTTGAACTTGACTGCTCCAGATCGGGTAATTATCGGAGGACAGAGGGTGCGGGATAAGAGATTTTAGGTTAGAGATTACAAACTTAAGAGACGAGTGTATGAGCGAAATGTCGGATGTAATTCCCGATCGCTCGCCGTTGTTGGAAAAGGAGGAGGCGGAAGCCGAGTTGGCCATGGAAACTCCTCAGGAACACCAAACTCCTGATACCATGTAGAAACCAGAGAGAAGTAAAGAAGAAGAACTTAGCTAGCTTTTCATTACAGTAATCTTGCCTTACAACAGAGGACGGTAACATATATATAGTTTGTACTAATCCTAGTTACACGTGTCATAAGTAGACATGTTACAATAAATACATTGTTACACTATTTGGTATCTAATAGTAACGATCCTTTCACGCGATTCTCCCTTTCGCGCATTTTTTCGGTTGAGAGAGCAAAATGGCGTGGGTGAACATTGCAACGCCAATATTGGAGTCGCACTATTCAACGACAAGTAAATGGCGGAAGATTTGGCGTTCGGCTGGAGCGACCGAATGACGTCATACGCTCGTTTGGCGTTTGGTTGGAGATGCTCTAATGCCGCATTGCTGGGTAGAACTAGCCGCTGAAACTATTATTTTGTGTGTGCATGTGCCAAACTTGCCTTTCAATATCTTGAACTTAAGCCCAATCAAACCAAGGCTAGTCACTTCAATATGTCCCAAGGTAATAAAGCATGAGAAATTTTGTAAACATTAAGATAGCGGAATATTGAGGAATCCAAGGAAATGACAGCATATCTAGTTTAGTAATGAGAAGCATTGAGGATAAACTGAGAGTGAATGACCATGAAGAATGTGAGCTACCGATCAAAAGTGAAGATCTTTATGAGTTAGCTATGATATCACACTTCCATTTTGTTAATATGTTAACCATCTTTATTGGAAGAAGGAAAAGAAGCCCTTATTATTGCAGCATATTGAAGTGAGGTGTGGGCTAGTGCTTAGTGTATTTTACCAGTAAGTAGATGGGTGAGCAATTGCTTCCCATCACATCATGGATTTGATAACATCCAAAAGTGCGTTCAAATGGTGCTCTGGGAAACTATTTTGTTATTTGATCTCTACACTTTAACAATCTTTCATTTATGAGTTCGAGTTGCAAAAACCTTTCTTTGAAAATTCTTATTAAGGGCTCGTTTGTTTTCATGTTTTCCCTCCCTTTTTTTCAGTTTGAAAAGGAAAACGCAGTTGTGGAACTTGTTTGGACGTGAGGCAGACTTTTTTAAAAACTCTATTTTTCTATTGTTTTGAGAATCATTATATTAGCTTCTCCGTTTAAAAAAGGCCTTTTCTCTTGTTGACGTTTTTGATACCGTAAGGATAAATAAACCAAATGAAGCCTAATTGAAACCTTTGAATGCTTTTGGATCTTGTTGATTTTTCCCCTGAAGGTATACTCTTGATTTTTAAGAAGGATGTCAAGGGTTTAAGTGCTTAATCCCTAAAGTTTCTTTGATTTGTGCACATGATATGTAGCTAACCTAGTGGAAGATGTTTATAAATCATGAATTGAACTTGGAGCTCACTTTTTACCTCTGCCTTAGGGATTAATGACTGGTGGAGAAACAATCATTGGTAGATCATATATATTGAAGATATGGCAGTTGCGATTCTGTTGCTGATAATTCTAATCACTTTCTTCTTTCTTAAATGTGAAGGGTAATACTTTTTTTTGTCCCTTTTATCCCTCTTTACCCAGTTGAACTATGATGCTAGGGCCCTACTTGGATTAGTTGTGATTCACATTTGCAACTTTCACACCAAAGGTTATGATCTCTAAATATACACTAATGCATGATAAATGCAGTGTCAAATTCAATCGTAACTTTTGATGTCTCCATCTCCCTAATGTGCTTGGAAAAAATAATCATATTTGAAAACCCAAATAATATAATGAAAAAGCATGGTTATGTGGATCACTTTTTAGAGCGTAGGTGTTATATTTTTGTCTATATCCCACTCAATTTTGAGAGGATTTATCTTCTGTTTAAGTTTAGGATTGATTTATCTATTATTTTTTTGGTGATTTTGGTTTCAAGTGCTTAACAATGGAAATGTCTCTTTTTATTTGATAGACTTGAGTCACATTCACCATTTTATTATCTTTGTGGTTGGGATATGTAAGTTTACACTCGTTGAAAACATCGAACTAATAATGGTGTAGGCAAAATTTTATTGCTTTACTTTGAGCATGATGAGGGCGTGCTTAGCCTTGCATTACAAGGAAGTACAAAAATAGGAAAGGTTTCCTCCACTGGAATGTTTTTTTTCTTTGCCTTTCAGTGTACTGAATTGATCTGACATAATCTATGGTAGTTGCTAAGGACCTAGATGCTACCTTTTGAAGAAATTGGATGGATTTTAGCCTTGTGCAGTAAACAGAAAGATTGAACACATTCTTTTGTTGTTAAGGTTGTTAATTGGGATATTAATGATTGGCTTTAAAGATTAAGAGATCATTGATCTCTGCCTTTAGTTGGCCGTGACTTAAGAGGATTCATAGTGCTATTTAACACTCTTGCATGACTTGCAAGTTGCTATAACAGATTGCATTGTATAGTTATTTATTAGTGGCACCAATATGAGGCATGAATCTTCTTTACTTTGCTCTAATTTCTTTTAAATAATTTGTTATTGACTTTGATAGATTTCATGATTTTGATCTAGTTTGATACAATTGAAGTTTCAATTGTGGTGTTGAAATTCAATTGCTTGATGATTTTACTTGGTTTGAATTTCTTGTTGATTTCTTCAGATTTATTTGATAGTTGCATTATAGTTTGGGTTCAAATTCTCATGATTTTTTTAATTGATTCCTAAAGAATGCGAATTTTTGTGTATTTAGTGATCTTTAATTTGTAAATCCTAATTTATTTTATGTGATCTACATTCATTGTATCATGTTGATAGCATTAGGAACCATCGAACATAGGACATCATGCATGGCTTCGTTGCATTGCTTTTTTTTTTTCAGTTAATTTCTTGCATTTTCTTACTTATAAGCTTTCATTGGCAAACATGGTGTGATGTTCTTATCCTCTATCAATTTTTCGTTTTTTAGAAGGCTAAACAATACTTTTATTTATTATGTTTAGGAAGACGAGGAGGTGGAAAGAGTGCTTGAAATAACTCATAGGGTCTACTTGGATGTTGATATTGATGGACAACATGCAGGTTTGCGTCCTTTTGTTTCACAAGCATGCTTTGTTTATTTGATCTCTATTATATCATATTGTTTAGGCATTTCAAACTTTGTGAGCTAAACTCAGTAGATGCATTTTGTTCACTTTTTAATTTAGAGAGCACAAAATTTTTAATATTATTTATTTTAAAAGAAGAATCATATAACTAGCCGTGTGATACCACGTACTAGGCACAGTTTAGAAGGATATAAATACTATTTATGTTTGTACATGTGAACATTAAAAGTTATAAGAAATACATCTTTCATCATCACCACTATTATATTTATTGCAACCATTTATGATGATTGGCTTTATTAATGCTCCTTCTCCCAGCCGTATGATATGCTAACTCTATTTCATGGTAATTTTTTTGATGATGAGTGGGGCTGTAGGAATTAAAATAGTGGAGGATTTTTTCAATATTTGATTTGATTAAAAAGGTATAGAACCTGAAAAATAAGAGAAGAAAATGACTATAAAATTTAGATAAACGAATCCCTTAGAGGGAAGTAAGGCATAAGTTTGAGAATATCATGACCTGGTTCAGAGGCTCGAATTAACGAGGCGGAATAGACAGTCGGACATTTATTTAAACTTTCAATCAATTTAAAACTATCTTAAATAAGTAGAAAGAGCCACTAAAAATCTCAAAATATATTTTAAATAAAAGATATAAGTACCTTTCACTCGGAGCGCCTCACCTATGGTTCACATTATATTCGTTTCTACTCATTTTAAGCTTTTAGTAATACTTATTCATTTATAAATTTAGGAGTGAATAATTCATGCTTTTAAAATACAGTAACTCAAGACATTTGAAACAATATGCATGATCATTTTAATACATAAAGTAATTTCGATTAGATTCATTTCATTTCAAAATTTTCAGTATTATGTATATATTATATCTTTATCCTTTCTCATAAATAATATAACCATCACGGGATCTACCGTCTAAAATAGTACAAATGAAGGCACTTTTTTTCATTTAATTTTTCTTTTTCATAACTTTTTCCATTTACGTGCACGGATACCCGATCAGTACCATAAGGTGGTATGCTCTATCATTCAGCTTGGACATGTAAGTATATATATCTTAGCCATTTCATTCATAATCATTCATTAACCTAATGTAAAATATAACATACTAATTATCATATAATTTGAAATAATCAATCATTTGATATGTGAAAGATAAATAATTTAAAATGCAATTAAAAGAAGCAATAAGATACATTATTTGAAATAACGATTAAATGAAATTAGAAGAAGCAATAAATTTAATGTAATATTGGAACATGAATACTCACTTGAACTTAAGTGTTGCGTTGCTTTACTTTTACTCCGTGCTTCTAGTTCGATAGGCTTAACACCTATAAAATATCCTGTCGTTAAATTTAATTTATAATTTGCTCAAAATTTCTCTAATTTGTAATCTATTATTGTTCAGTGAAATTCAATTTCAAATTAACATCTCAAATATTATTGATTAGAATTGCTCTCACTCTCTCCAATTAACTATTTTACTATTCCTAAATAGCTCTCATTTGCTATCAAAGAAAATATCTTTAATATATTTTATTTAATGAAATCTCTCATGAATACCAAAATTTACACTTACTCCTTTTCTCTATCTAATTATTTATTAAATACATCCAATTAATTCTCTTATTATTATTATTCTTATTTTTTTTTCAATTTCTACATTATTTCCAATTTATTTATATTTACTAATACATTTCTTTAATTAACTTATTATTATTTTTTTACATAACATAAATTTCACTTTTCTCTCTTAAGTTAATACTCATTTTTCTAGAAAAATTTAAATTAATAATAAATTAATTTATGGATAAAATTTCATTTGAATATATGCTCTCCATTCCTTTGCATATCTTCCATTTATCATTAAAATGTTAAGAAAAGGATCAATATGGTCCCTCAACTCTATGTGATGGGCCAAACCGTCAAAATAGTCCAAACTCTTTTGAGGGACCAATTTAGTAGACCTGTCAATTTCAGATCATGGGTCGGGTTCGGGTCGAACCCGGAATTGACCCGGCACTATTCGAGTTCGGGTCAACCCGACCCGTTTTCACAAACAGGTCGATTTTTCGGACCCGCACCCGACTCGCTTTGGGTTCGGGTCAACCTGATTCGACCCACTTCGGTTTGATTTTTTGAGTTCCCGCGCGGTGCAATGGCAGGCCGGCAGCAGTGCAGCGGCGGCAGTGCCGGCGAGGCAGTGGGCCTGATGCAAGTGGTGAAGCAAGCTGTCACGCATGGGGCTCGAGAAGTTGATGGTGTTAAGTATGAGGGAAATTTGGTTATTTCTAATTAAAATATTCAAAAAATGAGTTTAAGTAGGTATTATACTTTTTGTAAAAAAAAATTATTAAAGTTTTCTTTAATAAAATTTTTTAAATAAATTTAAATTTAATAATTTCACTATTCTTTAAAATGTTTATGTATGCAAGACAAGCTCTAATCACAAAATTTAAATTTAATAAATTTAAATGCAAGACAATCTCTAATTATGAAACATACATTGTATCAAAAGCAAAAATACATTTCATTTAATGATCAAGCATTTCTATTTTCAATCAAAATACATGAATATGTCAATATCCCATACCAAAAATCTTGATAAAAAAAGGCAATAAGCATAAAGTATGTCCATTCTCCATACAAAAAATCACTTCACAAAACCAAAAATACATTTCAATAAAGGCTTGTCTACCCCCAAACAAAATATCTTGTGCTTTAAAAAGCTCATTCAATGAGATTTTTTCCTTTTGGAGATGTAAGCCTAAAGAAAATATAAAGATTTAATTAGATTGACATGCATTAACAGAAATCAATTATGAAAAAAAAAAAAAGTGAAATCAATTTGCTAAAACTGTTGCATTTGAAGATCCCTGAACAAGAACTTCCGAAGCAGGTTTAGTTTGAGGTCGACACTCCAACAACACCAATGGCTAGTTTAAAAAAAATAACATTTTTGAAATGAAAATTGTTAACATTTTGAAATAAAAATTGATCAGATGTTATGACTTACCATCTACACTTCCTGAACTTCTCCTTGTCCTTGTTCAATATTCGTTCTCTTATCACATATTAAGCTATTGTGCCCACTTTGTCCACATCTACGACATTGAAGCTTAACATTGGCTCTCCCTAATTTTTTAGGGATTTAATGTGATGGTTCTTCATCAATGGTTCTTCTTTGCATCTTCATTGGTCTTCCCCTTTCTGATTTTTTGTATTTTGGTGGCAATGTTGATATTTTGTTACTCATTGGCCACTCATTAACACCATTCAATAGCTTTCTGTTTGACTCATAACTTTTCATGTAAGTTTTTTTTTTTTTTTTTTTTTAAGTTTTTTTTTTTTTTTTTTGCGTAGAAGGGATGCACAAAATCGTCGCAGTCTCCCATTGTTATATGGACTGCAACACAAGCGTGTTTGCATGAAATTCTACTTAACTCCCACTTCCTACAAAAACAAGATTTCAAGTACGAATTGACCTTGTACTGACCTCCATGCATCGTACTTATCTCATAGTCATTATCATCTGATTTGTAAACTATGTAAGAACCTGCTTTATGCATATTTGTGAACTACCACCCATGCAATAGGAAATATGCTATTATTAGCATCAAGCCCTATGATTGTTAAGATTTGACCACCTTGTTGCACTTTCAGAAAACATTCATCAACACCAATAATTGTCCTACATCCCGATAGAAAGCCTTTTTTGCATGCATCAAAGCAAACATAAAGTTGCAGAAATCTTTTTCTCCCACATAAAGCTTGGTCTTTAGTAGTAAGCACAGGAATTGTTGATTCTTCTTACTCTCTGATACTTCTGGATAGTAGTCCCAAATTTTATTAAACTGATCTTCCTCCTTCAAGTAAATGAATTGATGTTCCTTCTTGGCTTGAGGTTTTTATACATGCAATTTCAAGTCATCCATAACTTCTTTTCTAAAGACACTACATCTCATATGGGGATTAAGTTTGACTCTATTCACATACTTCTTTGCAATAATTGTTGATGTCAAAGTCTTGTTATGGTAATTCCATGTACACATATGATCTTATAAAGATTTAATCTGCCATGAATTGCTTCCTTGATGTGTTGAGATATAAATGCTAAAAGGGCAATTAGGTCGCCTATAGATAACCTTACATCTTCTTTTATCATTCTTTATAAACTTAATTGTTTTCCCCATCAAAATAGACCAATTTTCAACAGCAATTTTGAACTCCTTCCCACAAAATAGCATGCCTATTTTGAAATGGTTGGTGCTGGAATCTGTCATTGGGTTGAAGGTTGGCCATTTCTAAATTTTATCTTCATCACTGCCATAAAGACTCTCATCATCACCTGAGGCCACACAATCACCATCACACTTTCCCCCTTTAAAAATTATAGTACGATTTTCTTCAATGGTTCTAATGATTTGCTTTCCTTTAAGTTGAGTTTTTTTCATACGCAAAACAATCATCAACCTTGTCATCATGATCAACATCATAACAATCAACACTATTGTCATTACCGTCACCATCACCCATCTCAAACTCTACATACTGTTAATACCATTCTCTTCAGTTAAACCACCAAACAATTGTGAAAGTAGATATTTCATTTCTAGGATTTATTCCTATTGTAAAATATTTGAAAGTTAACATATGCCAAGAAAAAAACTAATCAAATCCGCAAAATAAAGTTGAAAAAAAAGTATACCTCTTGACTGTGTTATGTTCGACTATGCGACTCTTTGCTCTCGAGTAGCGGACGAGGTAGGAGTGGTGAACAACGAAGGATTCATAGCAAGTGTTGCAATCGACGATCCCAAACGAATGAGATCTTTAGACTGCTGCGGGACCTTGTGTTCGACACGATTGATGGCTCTCTACGACTACGAACGGTCGCTAGGGTTGCGGAAGCGGTAGTCGACGCGTGCACTGAATTGTGAATTGCTCTCGGCGTGCACTGCGAGAATGATGGGCCACTGCATTGAAGCTGTTGCGGCTGCTCGCTCCGCTGCGTTGAAGCTTCAGCTGTCGCTCGGCCCGTAGCGAGACGTGAGAGTTGTATTTGGGGAGGGTTTCGACGCTACAGAAGGGTTTTATACTTATAATGAGAAATTTCTTTTTTATCTTCCAATTATACCCTTATGGTGCTTTCGACAGATGCATATTTGTCGTTAAAAGTTAACGTGAGGATCATATTGGTCCCATTTAGTGGAGTTGATGAACAAAATTGGTTCCTCCAAAGAGTTGAGGATTATTTTGGTCCCTCACATAGAGTTGAGGGACCATTTTGGTTCTTTTCTCTCAAAATGTTTGATATAATCATTTTAAAATAATAAAATTTTAGATTAAATTTCCTTAAATAACATTTACTAATTTATAAAACTAATAATAAAAAATACCTTTCCAAGCCGTGCCTGCTTGCCGCTCGATCCCTCGTTTGTCATTCGCCCAAACCTTCTCCCTTGCTTCCGCTATCACTCTCCCGATCTCCATTCCTTCCTCTTTCTTTATATTTCCTTCTCCTTTTTCTTCCTCTTGATCGTTGCTTTCTCAGTTTCTTTTGCTCATTTGTCGAACCAGATGAAGCGAAACAAAGTCATCTTGCGCTAGGAGTCATTGTTTTTCATTGTCGTACGCATTTCCTCACTTATCTACGCAATCCGATCTCGTCTTTTCTCGGTTCCGCTTGCCTACTCGGTTCCACTCGCATGCTTGCGTTCGTCTGCTTGGTTTCGCTCGCCTGCTTGCATTTGACTTTTGATTAGAGCCAATTCAATTGAACCGACAAAACCCGGTTCTTACATAGAGTAATAAAGCTAGAGAAACCTTAATTTTAGGATTAGGGATTAGGATCAATTGAGAGGAAGAATGCTAGAGCAAAAGTCATTTCTTATTCATTTTCAACTTTAACTAATTGGATTATAAGATTTTAGGCTCAATTTATATAAACATGACTTATTAAAAAATTGAAAAAAAACTACCCCTAGGAGAATTTAAAAAGGCCGAACTAATCCCAAATAACATATGACATAAATAAACCAAATAAGCGATAAATAAAGATAACAACATAATATAAATGATTAAACCTTTTGACACTAACAAACTCAATATTAATAATGGCAATTTTAAGCCTCCTACATACCAATAATTGATAGACATATAATGGTTTCTTGAGTGCAGTGCTATGAAGATGTGATAGCAGTCGTGTCACTGAATTTAAAGATTTTGACCTCTCTATGACTATGAAGATCAACGATGATTATTTTTTATTTTTATTTTTTCAAATATTTTAATCATCAAGATGGATGCTATCCCAAAATATAAATAGCAACTAATATCTGAAATGTTGCAATTTTAAGACACCAATAAACCAAAATACATCATTTAAAAACATAACATCTCAACTTGGACTTTAGCGAACAAAATATCTCCCAAGTAACCTTCATGCTCGTAAGATAACTGAATTTAAATGGAAAATTTCATGCTATTCTATGTTTCCTAATTGCTAGATTTATTTTTGAGATTTAAGACGTGTGATGCTAAAGAAATCCCACTGTTGAAGAAGTTTTAGACTGCAATTTAATATTGTTTTGATATTGGCTAAAACTAAGATTCATATGTAAATTGTAAGCATTGTTAAAATGGCTAATTGATATTCAAAGCATTGGAAAACAATGATATCCCCAAGCAAGGAATAAAACTGGAGATGTATGAAAAATTACCCATGGTGTATAAACATCAGATTGTTATTACACTTTCCTCTTTGGCAGAATTATCCAGGTTGCATTAGTTGTTATATACTAATTCATTAATCATTAGTTAGTATTTCAGGTGTGAAACATAAGAATAAATTAAGGGTTTTCATGCAGCTGAAAGAAATGATTTTTGAGCCTTTTGATTTATGGATTTCAAGATTTTCTTGTGCAACTGAAGGTAAAATTACTTTAAAATGTTCCTTTTAATTTTTGCTGGCTGATTTTCTTCAGGTAGAATCATTATTGGCTTATATGGAGAAGTGGTGCCTAAGACCGTTGGTATGTTTATCTAGTATTTATATTGACAACTTTCTTCATGCTAATGACCTCTCGTACATTGCTTATCTATACTAAGTGCACTTTCTCATATTGATTAGAATAATGGCTTAAAAAAATGATGTTTGCCTTATGGCTACTACCTTTTGTTTGATTTTTATCTTTTGACACACTCCACTTCCATAACCATGTAAAATCTTATATATGCATGTCACTTTGTGGTTTAATTTTGAAACCGAGTTATCATGTCTGCCTGCCAATACTGAATAAATAAATGGGTGCAATGTGGCCTTTAACTATAATTGCTCTCCAGTCTATGTGGTATGCATCTTCTTCATTAACAGTTACTTGGTTCCATTATTTAACAGGACAAGCTTATAAATCCATATGATAATTTTGTTTAGAAAGTTTAAATGTTTGACGGATATAATCCAATGACATTTGAGTTTAAACTTGTAATTTATTTTTCAAGTTTGCAATTTGTTTCTTCTCTGTATCAGAAGCATGCTATTTTTTTGGAAAATATTAATGGTGAAGTTCCGTCAAATTTGTTGACATTTTTATGTTTGTGCTTAATAACAACAACAACATCATGCTTTTATGATTTTATCCCATTTCATGGGATCGGCTACATGAGTTCTTTTTTCTTCATTGTATCCTATTAAGAGTCAAATTCTCATTTAAATATAATAAAAAAAGTCATTTCTAATATTTTTCTAATCAAGTATTTTTAGTTCTATCTCTACTTTTCTTAACATTAGTCAAATCTAATATCTTTACTCTCCTAACTGGGTCATTGGAAGGCCGCCTTTATGTGACCAAACCATCTTAGGCGACTCTTTCTAATCTTATTTGTCACTGGAGCTACTCCAACCTTTTCACGCATATACTCATTTCACATTCTGTTTATAAGTGTGAAGCCACTCATCCACCTAAGCATCGTCATATCTGTAACACTTAACTTAATTTTATGCTTATCTTTTAATGGCCAACATTCTGCGCCATAAAGCATTGCTGGTCTCACCACCATCTTTTATAATATTCCCTTAAGTTTGAGAGGTACTTTTCTATCACACAATAAGCCCAATGCATTCCTCCACTTTGACCATCCAACTTGAATTCTACTAATAATATCCCAATCTATTTCACCATCACTTTGAACAATAGACCCGAGATATCTAAAACGTGTACACTCTTATTAATGACTTGATTGCCTAAAGTCACAATCCCAATCCTCCACTAAATTTATTACTATTAAAATTACACTCAATGTATTTGGTTTTATATCTACTCAAAAGAAAACTTTTAGACTTTAAGGTTGACCTTCATAATTCAAGTTTACCTTCAACCCCCTCTCTAGTCTTATCTACAAGAAGAATATCATCAGCAACAAGCATACACTAGGATACATTCTCTTGCAAATGTCTAGTAAGAACATCCATGACTAAAGCAAAAAGATATGGGCTTAAAGCTGATCCTAGATGTAATTTAATTGAAACAGGAAAATACTTGGTCAAACCACCTTGTGTTTGAATACAAATAAGAACTCATGCATACATTTCTTTAATGACTTGAATATAATTATTATTAACCCTTTTCTTTTCTAGAACTCTCCAAAGCACCTTTCTTGGAACTTCATTAAATGTTTGTGATTAAAAAGTATAATTCAATTATGTGCACTTATAGTTTGTTATAATTTTAATATGTTCTACACACTCTTTGTTTTATTTATCATTGTGTACATGAAGCTTGCATATATTAAGTGCGATTTAATGCAAATTTAAGCCATAGTTAATGCCCAAAAACTTATGATACATTCTCTACAGGTTTTGATGGTGAACTTGCATAAGGTCTCTTAACTTTTCCAAATATTTTTAAGAGTAAGCTATTCTAATAATACATCTCATTAAAAGAATTCCGTCAAGAGTACTTTAATGTCAAATCTTGTTTAAATACTTCTTTATTGATTTCTCATGACCAAATCAATTCTTTGTATCTTCCAAAAATCTTTGGGTGTTCAGTTTTAAGTCAGCATCGAAGAAAATTAGACCCTAAATCTATTAAGAGTATTTTTATTTGATATTCCTCCAAAAGAATGCTTCAAGTGTTATTCTTTGATGCTGAGAAAAATTTACAATTTCATGGGCATAAAATTCCTTTAACCTTATCCTTATTACTCCAAACCTAAAATTTAGGGGGATAAAATTCTTGAACAAGAATTTCAAAGTTCCAATTTATTTAATTATCCCTCATCCTCTCGTCAAACCATCATAAGCTAAGCATCCAATTTATGATTTCATAACTTATAAATGACCTTTACTTGTATTTCATGCTTTTGTCACTTCTCTTGGTAAAATATAGATTTCAAATACTATTTATGAAGCCATTAGAACTCCCAAGTGGATGAAAGTTGCAATTAGATAAATCCAAGCCTTAGAAATGAATGATACATGGGAAGTTTCTAAACTTCTACTAGGAAAAAAAAGTTTTATGCAAATGAATCTTTACAATCAAATGTAAAGAAGATGAGAGAGTGGACAAATTTAAAGCATGACTTGTTTAAAAAAATGTGCACTCAATCATATTGTATTGGATGTATAGAAACTTTTTCCTATCATTGTCAAACTCAACAAAATTCGAGTTTTGCTCTCTTTTATAGCAAATTTAGATTGAAATCTTACATCAACTTGAAATCAAGAATATATTTCTTAATGGAGATCTTTTGGAGGAAGTATACATGAAGATTCCACTTAGATTGAAAAATTAAAGAAACTAACAACAAGGTTTGCAAACTCTGAAAAGCTCTATATGGTCTCAAACAACCCCCTCGTGATTAGTTTGATATGTTCTCCAAATATGATAAAAAGTTTGTGCACACTATGTGAAGCTGGTCATACTCTATTTATCAGACAAACACTTGCCTATGGAAAAAAAGATGATTTTGATTGTGTTTATAGGCAATATTATATTGAGATTTGACTTGGAGGAAAAATAAACTAGATTAAAAGGTGTTCTATTAATAGAATTAGAAGTAAAAGACAAGAAAATTCTAGGGTATTTTTTTGGTATAGAAGTATCGTGATCAAAATAAGTCTGTTATTTTCTATGGGAAGTGCATTCTTGATCTACTTTGAAACATAAATGCTAGGATTTAAACCCAAAAAAGTTCCATTACTTGTTATGATATTCCCTATTAGTATTGTAAGCTAATACATGATTACCCTACTGAAGACCACATGGAAGTTAACAAGTAACGACATTTTGCACATTTTGAGGTACCTCAAAATGACACTAGAAAAATACATTTTATTAGAAGCCATCCAAGGAAATTGAAGTTTTCATAGATGTTGATTAGGTTGAAGATACACCTTTGGTTATTGTACTTATGCAGGGAGAAATCTGATTATATGGAGAAGTAAGAAATAATATATTTTCTGAAGAAGCAATGTTAAAACTAATTTTAGGGTAGCGATACTTTGTATTTGTGAATGAACGTGATTAAAAAGATTATTAGAAGATTTTAATCTTTTTAGTTGTAAAATCTCATAATGTAATTACAACTAGATTTTCATATGCAAAAAATCTTGTCCACCGTGACAAGGCTAAACATATTGAGATAGTTTGACAAGTCGTTTCAGAAAAATAGAAAATGAATTGGCCCAACTAAAATATTTTATAATAAACTCTCAAACTATAAATATTCTCACCTAAGCTTAAGTCATAACTCAAAATGACTTTTGACCATCTATTCATCTGGCTGTGCTTCATCAACAAATAGTCTTGATTTTGTTGTCAACACCCTTCCATCTACAATAACCCATTAATCCATGGATGTCAACTTTCCATCTACAACAACCTACTATTAGGAGGCATCAACTTTCCATCTACAACAATCCAACTATCAATGGTTGTTTTCTATGTATATTACTCCAACAATCTGTGAACAACAATCTTTCACTTCCACAGTGCAGTTAATTCTGGATTACATTATTAAAGACTAGTTTTCATATTTATTTATTTTTCTTGATATTTTTTTTCCATATTTTTATGCACTGCCACTCTTTTTTTTTTTAAATAAAAAAAGGAAATATTATTTGGTTATAAATTTGTATAGTTTTTATTGTCCTCTCTTCTCATTTTAATTTTCAGGAAATAATCAATATCATGTAACATGTAGGCCTTTTAGAGAAACCTTAACCTAAATTAATGAAGAATTATAATGGACTGTTGCAATTTAAAGAACATGATATCATCACTATCTAATTAGCCTCACCTGAACTATTTAGCAAAAGATAATCATAGTGGATCAGTTATAATCAATTATTTTAATTGCTCAGGTCGAGGCACTTCAAATCAAGATTTAAAATTGCGTAAATAAGCCTTGAGGCGTTTTTCGTCCGTGAGGCGAGGCGTAAGCCTCATGGATGAAGAATTGCGTAAATGAGAATTTAAGGATTTTAGCAGGTAAATAATAGTAAAATTCTATCGTACAATAAAAAACATCTAAATGACAAGTGAAATTAGTGGAAAGTAAGAAACTAGATGCAATAAAATCATGTCCAAAAGTACAGAATCACAAAATATAAGTCTATCAAAACTCCCAAAGTACAAATAAGAAAGAACATATTAAATCAAATCATGTCTCATCACTAAATGGATCTTCAAGGGAATCTTCTTCTCCAATTGTATCTATGAATGTCATATCTTCATCATCTTCAATGTTACTCATTTTTCTCTTACATGTTCAATAAGAATGATTATTGTTATGTTAATTGCCCACTTGATATATATATATAAGAAGTTGTGGAATATCTTTAGTTGTTTGTTGTGCTGCAGAATTAGTGGATGTGTGTGGTGTGGTACTAGTGGATATGCTCACTTGATCTACTTCGCCCCTCAAGACGTCCACACTTAGATCCTCTAGTTGCAGGTCTGATAATGAAAAATCTGTCTCATCATCCATGAACCACTTATTATCAGATGCCACATCATCACACATCAAT